GAGGAGGACACTCTTGCCTTATTTCTGATCTTGGTAGGAAAGCGTCAAGTTTCTCACTGTTAAGTGTAACTTTGGCTGTTGGGTGTTTTGTTTTGTTTTGTTTTGTTTTGTTTTTTTGGTAGATTTTAAAAAATCAAATTGAAGAAATTTCCCTCTATTTTTATTTTGCTGAGAGTTTTCTTCATGCATTTTGTCAAAGATTCTTTCTGCATCTATTGACATAATCATGTTATTTTTCTCCTGTAGCCTGTTGATGTGGTGGATTACATTAACTGATTTTCAAATTTTTAGCCAGCACTGTATACATAGACTAAGTTCCCCTTGGTCCTGGTGTATAATTCTTTTTATACATTGTTGGGTTTGATTTGCTAATGTTTTATTAGGATTTTTGCATCTACATTTATGAGAGATATTGGTCTGAAATTTTCTGGCTTTGGTATTAGGATAAAGCTGACCTCATAGATTGAATTAGGAAGTATTCTGAAAGAGATTAAGGCACAATTTCTGTTTTAAATGTTTGGAAGAATTTACCAACAAACCCACTGGAGCCTGTTGCTTTCTGTTTTGTAAGTTATTAATTATTGATTCAATTTGTTTAATAGAGATAATCCTTTTCTGATTGCCTATTTCTTCTTGTGTGAGTTTTAGAAATTGTATCTTTCAAGGAGTTGGTCCATTTCAACTAGGTTGCGAAATTTATGGGCACAGAGTTGTTCATAATGTTCCTTAACTATCTTTTTAATGTTCATAGGATTTATAGTAATGTCCCTCTTTCATTTCTGTTAATTAGCCTTGACTCTTCTTTTCCTACTTAGCCTGGCTAGAGGGTTGTAAGTTTTACTGATATTTACAAAGAACCAGCTTTTGTTAATTTTCTCTATTAAATTTCCAGTTTTCAATTTCATTTATTTCTGCACTAATTTGTATCGTGTCTTTTATCTGCTTACTTTGAATTTAATTTACTCTTCTTTCTCTTGTTTTCTAACATGGAAACTTTGATTACTGGTTTTAGGTCTTTCTTATTTTTAAATATATGCAATCATTGCTATTAATTTACCTTTAAGCACTGCTTTTGCTACAACCTAAACATTTTGATATGTTGTATTTTCATTTTCATTTAATTCAACATATTTTAAATTTTCTTTTAAGATTTCTTTTTTGAAGTGTGTTGTTTAATCTTCAGGAATTTGAGGGATTTTCGGCTATTTTTCTGTTACTTACTGATTTTTGGTTTCACTTCTGTAATTTATTTATTTTTAGTTTAATTAAATTGTCCCTGACAGCAGATATTGTATGACTTCTATTTTTAAAAATTTGTTAAGGTGTTTTTATGGCCTAGAATGTGTTCTATTTTGGTCAATATGCTATGTGTTCTTGAAAAGAATGGGTGATCTGCTGCTATTGGATGAAGTAATCTATAGATGTTAGTTATACACAATAGGTTGATAGTGCTGTTGAATTCAGCTATGTCCTTACTGATTTTCTGTCTGCTGAATCTGCCCATTTCTGATAGAGGGATGTCAAAGTCTCCAACTATAATAATGAATGCCTCTATTTTTCATTGCCGTTCTATCAGTTTTTGTCTCATATATTTTGAGACTCTAGGTGCATACATGTTAAGGATTATTAGGCCTTCTTGGAGTATTGACTCATTTATCATTATCATTATGTAATGCTCCTTTTTAGTCCAGATAAATTTCTTTGCTTTGTAGTTTGCTTTGTCTGAAGTTAATATAGTTACTCATACTTTCTTTTGTTTAGTCTTAGCACAGTATGTCTCTCTCCATCCCTATACTTTCAGGGATGCAACTTTATATTTAAAGTGGGTTTCTTATAGTCAACATATCTTTGGGTCATGTTTTTGCTCTACTCTGACAATCTTGGGCTTTTAATTTGTATATTGGACCATTGACATTTAAAGTAAATATTGGTATTGCTGGATCAATATCTGTCATATTTGTTATTATTTTCTATTGGTCGCCCTTCTTCTTTGTTCCTATTATTGTCTTCTACATTTTTTTCTGCCTTTTGTGGTTTTAATTAAGTATTCTATGTGATTTCATTTTCTCTCCTTTATTAGCATATTAATTTTACTTCCTCTTTTTAAAACTTTTTTAAGTGGTTTCCCTAGTTTACAATATATATTTACAATTAACCCAACTCCACTTTCAAACAACACTACAGTGGTTCACAAGTAGTGCACGTACTTTAAAATAATGAAATGTCCCTAATTCCTTTTTCCCATTTTTTGTATTATTGCTGTCATTCATTTCACTTATATATAAAAATACATAAATATAATTATATAAGTATACCTAATGGAATACATTGTTGCTTTTATCATTTTGAACAAAATATTATTGGTTAGATCAACTGAGAGTATGAAAAATGAAAAATAAAGTTTATTTTACCTTCACTTATTCATTATGTTATACTCTTTCTTTTTATGCAGATCTGAGTTTCTGACCTATATTATTTTCCTTTTTTCTGAAGAACATATTTTAACATTTTTGGCAAGACAGATCCATTGGCAACAAATTCCCTCTTTGTTTGTCTGAGAAAGTCTTTATTTCTCCTTCACTTTTGAGAGATAATTTCAGAGGGTACAGAATTCTAGGTTAGTGGGTTTTCACTCCGAACACTTTCAGTGTGTCACTCCACTCTCACTTTTCAGCAGCTTGCCCTGTATCTTCAATTCTCTGACATATCTAAGAGGAGTTGCTAATTTTTCAGATTGTCCAGCTTTTTACTTGTTGTTAGGATAGAGTGGCAACTTCTAAGTTGATTACATGCCAGAATGAAAATTGGAAGTCTAACTGATTCTTTAAATTATTTTGGACTTTTTCTCTTGCACTTCATTTTGGATCATTTCTATTGCTATGTCTCCAAATTCACCTGCAATGTCTAATTACCCATTAATTCCATCTACATATTTTTTATCTGAGACATTTTATTGTTTTCATCTGTAGGTGATTTGATTTGGATCTTTTTATATTTTCCATTTCATTTCACTTTTTTCACTTAATTTTCTCTATTTAATTCAAATGAAGAGCTTAACATTTCTCCACCTAACTTTTTGAACATATGGAATACAGTTAAAACAACTATTTTCATATGCTTGACTGCTAAATCTAATTTACATGTGAGATCTGAGTTGGCTGTAACTGACTTTCCTCCTCATTTTGAGCTGTGTTTTCCTGCTTATTTCTCTACCATAATGTTTGACTGGATGGCAGAATATTGCTAATTTTGCCATGTTGGGTGCTTGATATTTTTGTATTCCTATATAAATTTTGAGCTTTGTTTTGAAATGCAATTAAATTATTTGGAAATTGATTGAATCTTTTAGGCTTGTTTTTATGACTTATTAGGTGGGTCCATGACAGTACTCAGTCTAGGGTTAATTATTCCTGCAACCGGGGCAAGGCTTTCCCGAGTACTCTACTCAATGCACTGTGAATGATGAGGTTTTCACGTCTAGCTAGGAGGAACAGGCACTACTATTGGCCTTGTGTGAGTGCCAGTCCACTTCTCTTTAATCCTTTCAGATATTCCTTTCTTGAATCTTGGGTAGTTTCCTCATAAATGTACACTGATCTTTGCTGAATACTTGAGCGTGATCCTCTGTCGAGCTTCAGGGGGACTCTCTGTGCAGCTCTCTCCTCCAGTATGCATAGTATGTATCCTATGAACTCTAGCTGCCTTGGTCTCCTTGTGCAATGGGAGTCCTAAACTTAGGGAGTCCACTGGGTTCTGTCCAGCTTTTTCTTTCTTGTGCCACTGCCTGGATACTCTTTTATGGCAATAAGCTTGAGGCAATTATAGGGCTCACTTCATTTGTTCATCATATTTCATAGTCACTGTCTTTCACGATCTGATGTCCAGTGTCTTGAAACCCATTGCTCATATATTTTGTCTGTTTTGGTGGTTATTTCAAGTGAGTAGGTAAATCTGGTTCCTGTTATTCAATTATGGTTGAAAGTAGAAGTCTCACTCTGCTTTTTATTATTTTATTTTATTTTTAACATTAAAAAATATTTTTGAGATAGAGTATCGCTCTGTCACCTAGCTGGAGTGCAGTGGCGCAATCTCGGCTCACTGTAACCTCTGCTTCCTGGGTTCAAGCGATTTCTGTGTCTCAGTCTCCAGAGTAGCTGGAATTAGAGGCAAGCGCCACCATATTTGGTTAATTTTTTTGTATTTTTAGTACAGATGGGGTTTCTCCATGTAGGCTCAGGCTGGTCTGGAACTCCTGGCTTCAGGTGGTCTGCCTGCCTCAGCCTCCCAAAGTGCTGGGATTGCAGGCGTGAGCCACTGCACCCGGCCTCATGTCTTCTTTTTAAATGTAACTTTTTTTTTTTTTTTGCTTTTATTTTTGTAGAAAGCCACAGAGTCACACATGAGCTGGCACTACTCCACCATTTCACCCTCACTTGTCTTTCTCCCCATCATTCACTTTGCCCCAGACATGCTGGCTTTCCTTCTGTTCCTCCAACACATCAGGCTCATTCTCTCCCCTTGGCCTTTGCACTTATAATTGCCTCCATATGGAAATCTCTTCTCTTTGATCTTCACATAATGGGTTCCTTGTTCTTCACAGAGGCTGCCATTGACTATGCAGTCATTTGTAATTGTATCATTCTCTTTTATTATCTTCTTGTACTTATTACTATCCAAAGTGACTTTGTTCATTTATTTAATAATTCATTTCCTTTTTCATCCCCCCAATTTCCATTAGAATAAAAATGAGGCTTTCTTCACTGTGCATCAAAACATGCTTTGCTACGTAATAGTCAGAAATACGAGAAGTCAATGAATGATGATCAGATTTGCCTGAAAATCAGTCATCTCTGTTTTTCAAAGGAATTACAACTGTACTGTACTGCTGTACATTTATGCATTTTCTCCCTTCATCTGACTAATGGAGGGCAAGGGGTGGGGTAGGCAGTGTGTATGCATATGTGTGTGTGCATGTAACTGTGTGCAAGCATAAAACAAACCTTATCTGCCCGGCTCCAAATGGCTTTAGGAGGTGGTTCTCCACTGATGGGGATCTCAAGACGAAGCTTGCTTCCTGCAATCACTGTCACTGTATTGTCAGCATCAAGACCATCCAGGATGATCTTAGGAGGATCTAGAATATTCAGCATAGTCTTTGTTATCAGACGGTCATTTCTGTGTGAATATCTGCACTAATGTTTGGCTGTATGATGGTAGTAACCAATATTTTATCTGATCAAAAAGAATATGAGAGGTCAAGATAGTTGGTGCCTGGCACCTTGCAAAACCATTTTATTGTAAGGTGTTGGTATAAGTCACCAATCTTTCTGATTGGTAATTAATACCAATTGATGTATTTTTCCTTAAATATCACTTAGTTTTGAATATATTATAATTCCATGGTAAGCAAAAGCAAACAGAAAAGAACACAACTATGCAATGACTTATTTTATCTACTCACCAACAACATGAACTTTGGCAGGCAGAGTAACATTGTAGGCATCAGGTGCAAATACATAATCACCTTCATCTTCAATGAGGGCATTGGCTATGACTAACTTGTGTATCCTAAGGAAACAAGGAAAATGTATTTCTAAGACTGCAAAGATCTAGTTTATGTATGACCCAAACTGAAAAGACACTTGGCCTTTATCTGATTAACTTCTGTAGTGCAGGAGAGAGAGGAAGAAAGAGAGAGAGAGAGAATGAAGGAGAAGCCTTAATTATCCTATTTATTGATTCAAATTAAATCTTTATTTTGGACTATAAGGAATTATCTCCACAAATACAATCTGTTTATTGTATATGCAGAGTCTATTATTCTTTTTTTAAATCTCATAGCTTTAAAAAGGCTAAAATAGAACATATCAATAGTGCTATACTTTAAGATTCAAGAGATTGCCAAGAATAATCTTGATTTTGGCTTTATATTCCAAACCCTAAGAACAACAGCTCTTAACTTTATTGGGGTCACAAACCAGTGAATCTCTAATGGACACTATGAATCCTTTCTGTGTAAAAAGTATGTATTTTTATATACACAGAATTTTCTCACAATTTCACAGGAGTTATGGGGCTTCCTAAAGTTCATTTATGATATCCTAAAAGCCCATGAATTCAAAGTTAAACTCTTGCCTTAGATCTTTGCCAGATTCTAGGATATTATGCCCCCTACACAAATAAAGATTTGTGGGAAGGCATTGTGACACTTATTGGTTAGACATAGTTAATCCATTTGATCAGGTCCTCAATTAGAATTCAGTATTTTTCCTCTAAATTCATGTTGATTATTTATTTTAGAGACAGGGTCTCTCATTCTATTTCCCAGGCTGGAATGCAGTGGTGTGATCTCAGCTCACTTCAACCTCCCCCTACTGGGCTCAAGCCATCCTCCCACCTCCCAAGTAGGCCACCACGCCTACTAGGCCACCACGCCTGGCTAGTTTTTGTGTTTTTTGTAGAGACAAGGTTTTGCCACATAGCCCAGGAGCTCTTGAACTCCTGAGCTCAAGTGATCCGTCTGCCTCGGCCTCCCAAAGTGTTGGGACTATAGGCATCAGCCATGGTCCCTGGCCTCTAACTTCATGTTTAGATGGAAAAAGAGTCAATGGATTTTGAATAGACAAAGTACCGTAGTGTGAGGTACAGATACAGGATTATGAGTAGGACATGGTGTACAACAGAGAAATCACACCTTCTTGCTAGTTGGAAGCAAAGAATCAGGAATAGATGATCTCCCTATGGCTACCCTTCAAACACTCTCACCAAATATGTAATTTAGAAAACGGAGAAAGTAGAAAAGGGACCAAACCTCATTTGTGGGTCACCTGACTCACTTACCTTCCCTTGTGAACCACCTTTAGACGGTCACTTTCCTGAACAGGTAGGCCATTTTTAGTCCATTTTCCTGTTATGTTTTCAGAGATTTCACACTTCAGGCAGATTTCTTTTCCAAGATTTACAGTCTGATCAGTCAGAGGTGTCAAAATCTTCAGAGGTTTCACTGTAGAAATGATAGACCATCACAAATGCAAGCCCAAACTCCCGACAGGCCAAGATGGCGGCATTTCACAACGGTATAGTGAGCTCTACTACAATGTTTGTTTTGAAAGTGAGAAGTTGTACCAATGCAATTAATATATTACGGGATAATTTCACATTTGATTATGTACAATTTCATTCCTTAGAAAAACTAGGTGAATGCAGAAAATTGCATCCAGCTGAAACGAGCCAGCAAGGAATGCACAAAATCTGCAGACTCACACCTCAAATATATATCAGCTACCTCAGTTCATCCATGTGATATAAGCCACACCCATTTACATTGGAGGTCACAACTACTCATCACATTTTGAATAATCCTCTTTCTACTGCTTCACAACAGTTCACAAGCCACAACACTTCCAGCATTACTTCTATAAGCAAATCTCAGGTCTTTTTCAACATTAAGTGCCATATTTGTTATAATATTTATCAACCATTTAGCATGTGTAAAACTGTGCTACTACTTTTAATTAGGTTATTATATTTTAAAAAACATGTCATTGACTGATATGGTTTGGCTGTGCCCCCACCCAAATCTCATCTTGAATTGTAATCCTCACATGTCATGGGAGGGACCCAGTGGGAGGTAATTGAATCATGAGGGCGGTTACCCCCATGCTGCTGTTCTCATGATAGTGAGTGAGTTCTCATGAGATCTGACAGTTTTATAAGGGACTTTTGCTCCTTTTGCTTGGCACTTCTCCTTGCTGCCGCCATGTGAAGAAGGACATATTTGCTTTCCCTTCTGCCATGATTGTAAGTTTCCTGAGGTCTCCCCAGCCATGCGGAACTGTGAGTCAATTGAACCTTTTTCCTTTATAAATTACCCAGTCATGGGTATGTCTTTATTAGCAGCATGAGAACAGACTAATAAACCAACAAAATTCTTGAGTGTTGTACCCATAATCCCATTTCCCCTACAAACCCTATGGTTTTTATTGCATGACTTTGCATAGCGTAATTATTTTTAGAAATGCTCATGCTACATCATAGCAGAACAGATTGTAATTGCTTTAAATGGATACAAATATCAGATAAGGATCTGTCTATGGCTGAAAGACTTCTTGATGCTAAACTAAAATGACCACAGTTCCATAAAGCATAAGGAATGTATTGGGATTGATCCTGAATAATTCAATGATTATATGAACTGCAACTGGACTAAGCAATAGATACGGAAGTAAGATTTCTACTCTGTTTGTGACATCATCTTGAGATATTTGCTGTTTTAATTTTTATGGCAAATTGGGAAAGATTCTGCCATTGCTAACTGACTAGGAGTAGAGGGCATTGAGGGAAGTATGTTAATTCTCTCATACCTCTGAAGCCTACTAGGAAATGAGCTCTTACAGTCTTCTCAACTGAACCCTTTTGGTTTGAATTACTTTCTTCTCATGTCAAGTGTAATTGCAGAGTGTTGAATGTTTATTTGATGAATAGCTAGCTAACATTATCAGGATATGACATAATATCTAAGTATTTATCCCCTATTTATATGGTCTTGGAATTATAACTTTTCTGGCAGGTGATTTTTATACTTTCTTCCTAATACTGGTGCTCTACTATTAAATTGAGTCGTGGTTCCTTCCTCAAAGACCCTGACTGATCTGACATAGACACTTAGCTAGAATGAAATCCATTTTACATACTTAAAATCACTGCAAATAGAAATCAAATAGAAACTTTTCTAAAACCAAATTAACACAACCATCATTAGTAAGCCCACTTAGAAGACATCTAAAGAAGTCTTACTTACAGTCAACAGTAAGTTTAGCAGATGATTGTCCTCCTGTAGTCATTACTGAATATTCTGCAGAATCAGCCTTTGTTGCTCCCTCTATGATCAAGAAGTGTTTCTTACCCTCAACTCTAATTCGGTATCTTGATTTTGGACCAGGGATAATCTCTTCACCATTCTTAAACCTGAATTAAAATATTAAAAAGATTTATAAAAGATCCTTCAGGAAAAATACGTTGTCGATCTTGCTTGTTGCAATATCCTGAAGAATTTCTGGCAGATATGAGACACACAAGAACTATTTGTTGAATTAAAAAATGTACGAATCAATCTCTGTATCCATCAGTAGATTCATAATGTAACAAATACTGTCTACAAAATTGTGTTAAAAGAACACGAGCCACCTGTTCTCACTCAAGATGAATCAGGTGCAACTGCTGAGAGTGGATATTACCCACACGGAGGCTCTTGAAACACACTAGTAAGAATATCATTTAATGCACTTTAAAGATAACTATGATTCTCTATTAGAATGAACAATCTACACCATACCAATAACTACAAATCCTGCTGTGTAATTTACTGTACCTTTCAATGTAACATTTCATTTTAAGATTTAAAATTTCTAGTTTTTAATTTTAAGGTTATTCACAAGGAACCTGAGAAAACACTCCCCACCTAAGCAAAACAAATAAGCTCTTGTTTCTAGAAGCAATTGGTGATTCTCAGTCTAAATGTTTTTTCCCTGAGGTACTATGAGGATAAAGTGACTAGGGGTTACATGAAAAGAAAATGTGTTTTTTCATGTAACTTGCCAATATGGCATAGTGAGAGGAAGCCTGCTATAAAGGTTAAGAGCATCCATAGCCTTGGGGTCAAACAGATTTGGGACAACTTGAATCATCCACTTAGTAGTAAGTACCCACATCCCTACATGCCTGCTCACATATATCTCTGGTTCTGTTTTCAGTCTCACGAGTGGAAAAACCCCAGTATGTTAGTATACTTTTATTTATCATCTCTACTAACTCAAATGAGGTGGAGATTCTTTTCAAAGGTTTAAAAGCTATTTGTCTTCCTGTCCTATCAACTATGAAGCTCCAATTTTTTTTTTTTTTTTTTCCTACTAAAAATGGACAGACTTCATTAAGGCTATTTACCATTTTACATTGGCATCATCTTCAGACACCTCACATTCTAATTCCACTCTCTCCCCACAATAAGCAGTTGTATCTTCCAGCTGTTTGGTCACCATAATTGGAGGCTCTAGTACAAAAAGGGGAAATCAGAATCATTAAATATCCAAAGGCTATCCCATGAACCCTGATTTGTTCACAGATGAAAAACCAACAATAAGAAAGCAACATCTATGGTTGATATGGTGATAACAGTAAGTGAGTTTTTTGTTTTTGTTTTTGTTCTTGTTTTGAGACAGGGTCTCACTCTGTTGTCCAGGCTGGGGTGCAGTGGCGTGATCTTGGCTCAATGCAACCTCCACCTCCCGGGTTCAAGTGATTCTCCTGCCTCAGCCTCCTGAGTAGCTGGGATTACAGGTGCCCGCCACAACACCCAACTAATTTTTGTATTTTTAGTAGAGACGGGATTTTATCACATTGACCAAGCTGGTCTTGAAATCCTGACCTCAAGTGATCATGTGCCTCGGCCTCCCAAAGTACTAGTAATACAGACATGAGCCACTATGCCTGGCTGTGAGTTTTCTTTCTTTTTCTTTTTTTTTTTTTTCAATGTCTGTTCTTGGCAAAATAAATAGCAGGCAACCCTGGGTAAATTCTCCCAATTTTTTCATAAAATCTCCAAGTCAAATAAATTATTACTTTCAAGAACAAACAAAACATATATCAAATATTATTCTTTTAGCAAAGAAGATACTAAGTGCTAGACATTTCTGATGAAGGAGAATGTATAAAACTCAAATCTTTGATCCTAGTTCCAGATGAATGACAGAGATCTCAGAGTTGTCTGTAATCAGAAGGCCTCATAAAGAAAATAAGGAAGACATAGCTTCATTCACACCCTCCAGCTCTTTTCACAATGTCTTAGTAAATGATAATTTTCAGTGTGCTTGGTGCCAACCACTTATTAATGACGCTGGTTTCAAGAGAAACCTATGTGTGATCAATTGAGTGTGTGAAACAGGGATTATCCAGTAAAATCTGTTGGGTTTCAAAGCTATAACTAGAATAATTATTTTTGCAAAATAGTGCTTGACTTGAGTCAAAATCATGAGGCATTTGTACTCAGCAGGTTTCCTTTCTCCCCTCTGCTGTTCTAGTCTTCAACAAACCAGAAGACTCATTAGGATCCATAATAGCTGCCAGTGTAGAGGAGCCTCAGTTGCTTTCACTTTGATCATTATCCCTGGGAGAAGGAGCCTACAGCTCCTGGTGATCACAATAAGAGATTTCATTTTTACCTCTTACGAAGAGCTCAGTGGAGCATTTCTCATCACCGGCTGTCACATAATACTCCGAATCATCTGTCATCTGACAGTTATTGATAAACAGGATTCTCTGGCATCCTTTGTGTTCAAAGATGTATCTGTTTTGAACAGGAGGAAAATAAACAGAGTCTGTGAATGTGATTTTATTCTTTTCTTTATTTCCAGCAAATTTGGCTTATAATTTGGTAATGTTTGAAAGTCAAGGATCTATTTCTTGAGACAGGGTCTTGCTCTGTTGCACAGGCAGGAGTGCAGTGGTGCAAACATAGCTAATTGGAGCCTCGACATCCTGGGCTCAAGTGATCCTCCTGCCTCAGCCTCCCATGTGGCTGGGACCACAGGTGTGGGCCATTAGGCCCAGCTAATTTATTTTTTGTAAGACTGAGTCTCACCATCTTGCCCAGGCTGGTCTCAAACTCCTGGGTTCAAGCGTTCCTGCCTCAGCTTCCCAAAGTGTTGGGATTACAGGCATGAGCCATCGTGCCCAGCAGGGATATAATTTTGATCTGCTCTTTAGGTATCATATCTTACACAGTTTAACATCAAACCAAAAAAAAATTTTTATCTTTATAATGCATAATATATAAGCATATTTATAGATACTATTTAATTTCCATTATAATTTTTTTTACATAAGGTTTTTATTTCAAATAAAAATCAGTACTCACATATTTGCTATTTAATTTTTTTAACCCACTGTTGGAAGATAAAGTTGGCTGAGGGCGTGAGATTTTTAACTCTGTACATTCTTTAACTGACCAATTCATGTGCTTTATAGGTGGGTAGAAACTTGATCTTATTCACTGATATATGAATAAGATCTATTCATTGCCTATCCCAGTGGTATAGTAGATTCCCTTGGGTGAATAAATGATTATACAATTTAAGAAATAATGTGATATAATCACAAACACACGCAGCAGTTCTGTCGAATGTGATGTTCTCTTAGATGAGCTTAAGAACTGGTGCTATCATACAGTTACATCTACTAAGAAAGAATGTGAGTATTTGGAAACAAACTAGAAGCCAAGAAGATTGTAAAATGTAATCTGTGATCTGTATTATGGAGGAGCACATTATGGGATTAAAATAGACTAGAAAATAACTGCTTTGGGAATTTCTCAAATTGAAGCCTTCAAAAACAAGATATTTAAAAATATTTTCTACATGAAGATAACCAATTAAAATTATGTTTTTGGTAAATTCAGGCCATCTTCAAGAGATTTTTACACCAGATATAAATGTTATCATCACAAAGTCACTCTTGTGGCATGACCACATTAAGAACTGGAAGCCACCTAATTGTACTCCAGAAGTAACAGCTTTCCAGGATTAACGTCTTTTATAAATGTACACGTGGCTCCTGTTAACCTAAAAAAATATATTGGAGTTGAAAATCTCTCAGACTGAGGAGGATCTCTGTAAAGTAGTTTTATAATAGACTGGAGATACCATCAGACGTCAGGGATTAGTCTGTCTTTAGTCTGTCTCCATTTGCAAGAAGGCCAAAAAATAATAAAACACAGGCTTAGACCCACATTTTGTTTTATCTCAACATTAAAGAGTTCCTTTTAGATGCAATATTGCAAGTGCTCAGAACAGTACTTGAATTGAAAATAGAAGGTATTCACCCATTATTAAATATAGTTGTTATTTTGGAAAAGCAAAAGTCATCTAATTATAAGATGTGATTCCCAGGTGGCATATCAAATATGGATTGCAAGTTATTTTTCAATTTTATTTTTTAAAATTGGGAGAAATTTGGCAATACTCTGAAATAATCACATATAACCTGTAGCAACACAAAACCATAATTGCAAAACACTTTAGTTTTACAGAATTAAACAGAAAACAAGGTTTAGTTTACATAGAACTATCATGTTTCCATAATAAGTAAAGTGTGACTTAAATGTTTACTCTCTCTCCATATGATTTTGTATTATGAAAATATAACTAAATATCCTTTTATTCTCAGAAAAGTAGGTCAAACTACTATTTGATTAATTTACTGTAGAGCTATCACTGATTTTTGCAAAGCCCACTTACTTGGTACTGGGTCGAATTTCTTGACCATTTTTATACCATTTCACCTCCAACTTTGGATCTGCCAGCTCCACCATAAACCTCACTCTGCCTCCTTTGTCAACCTGATATGCAGGATCAAGAATTTTTGCGAAAGCTGATAGAATAGAAGAAACAAAAGTATGTTAATATATGTATACATATGCTATGAATTTAAGTAGTCAATACATGTAGGAGAACCTAAAAACAAATGAAAAAATGAATCTCAAAGAAGAAAAAAATCAGAAAGCTTCCAAATTATCCTTTATATTTCGAACACTGTGTTGACTTATATACAATAAGATGGTTTAAATTGAAAAGAGAATCCACACGTTTCTGGAAGAAACATGAGAAAAGAATCATTGAAGAAGCTTTAAAAATGCCCTAATTCTTCAGGGAATGTGCACTATAAAACGTCCAAATGAAAGTGAACTTTAAAAACATGCTGGGGCTGGGCATGGTGGCTCACGCCTGTAATCCCAACACTTTGGAAGGCTGAGGTGGGCAGATCACTTGAGGCCAGGAGATCAAAACCAGCCTGGCCAACATGGGGAAACCGTGTCTCTTCTAAAAATACAAAAATTAGCGGAGTGTGGTGGTGCGTGCCTGTAATTCCAGCTACTCAGGAGGCTGAGGCACGAGAGTCACTTGAATCTGGTAGGCAGAGGTCGCAGTGAGCTGAGATCATGCCACTGCACACTCCAGCTTGGGTGACAGAATGAGACCCTGTTTCAAAAAAATAAAAATAAAAGAACATGCTTATTCTTTCAGCACAATTACTATTAGTGTCATTGGCCTTATTTCTGCACTTCTTGTATGTCACAGATGGTTTTTTAAATAATAGAATTTATAAGATAAATTCAGTGATTCGTATTAAATCGAATGTCTTTGACTAATTGAAACAGTAGGCTTACCAAAGTTTTTTATACTGTGGTAACTTGCCCAAATAGTGGCATTTTAAAAACACCCCTTGCACATACGTGTAGGAACCCAGGATTTCCAAAGATTTTAAATAACATAAAACACAGCAATTAAAAAAAAAAAAAAAAGTTGTCTTTGAAAGGTCCTAAATAAAGAGAGTTAACTTCTTTAATTTAATAAGTTTTTTTTTCCTGGTTTTTAAAAGATAATCATTTTCATTTAGCAGTTTGGAAAATACAAATGTGAAATGCTTCATGTTGTCATACTTGTATTTCCATCATTCCAACCTTATTATACTATTGTTTAGGTAAGCTTGCTGTCCCATATTTTAACAAGTTAAAATAAACCCTAGCTTTTAAAAAAGCTATCTACCACACATCTTAAGAGATGAATTCAGAGCTAAGTGATAACAATAACAAAGTTCAGCCTGGGGAAAAGAGATGTCAGCTGGCTCTCCCCTGTAGCATGCACACACCTCTCAAAAATATAACATCAAGAGTTCTGGGATAGTGGGAATGGCTGAACTCCATAAACTAAAAAAATACACCCTTCTACATTTCTCTGGGGCCATTTCTCAACCAGTTTCCAGGAAGATCAGAAATAAAGGTCAGATTTTTTAAAAGAGGTGGTAAAAATCTTTAAATTCTATTTGAACATTAACAAAATAATAATAATAGGATTGATATATTACTAACCTGATGTGTCATAAAACTCATAACCAATAATGACCAAGTACAGGAAGCTTCGAAGAGCTCATGGTCAGTGTAAAATGCATTCCTTTCTCTTTCTTTAAAATTTCCACTTTAAAAAGGTATTTCAAATCACAACAGACTGGACCCATTTCAGATCTCCACGGAGCTGCTTATTGGTTTTACAAAACATTTTGCTAACCATGCTGGGTGTAAGAAAGTGAACTCTCCACACCATCAAGTGGGTGGAAGAAAAGGATGGTGAAAGAGTCCACTCTGCTTAAGTAAAAATCAAGAATTTGACAGTGAGAGGGGATGTGGAGGCTGGAGAAAGGGGGCCGCTAAGAAATTCGCAGTAACAGCGGGGGTAATGTACTATTACATTCTACGTTGTGTTTGGACCATGAATCTCCTGTTACCTTGAACCTTCAGGAGCTGTCCGCCAAGACGACCGTAACCCCTGCACGCCTACCCAGGCCCACTCCCACCCCCGCGGGAGACTGGAAAGGGCGTGGGGGGGGATGGGGTTCACGGTCAAGTCTTTCGAACCCTGCCACGCCCCTCGGCCCCGCTGCCACGTCCCCCGGGCGCGCTCACCTGCGCTCTTCTTCTCCACCCTGCGCATGCGCTTGAGGCGCTTGAGCATGCCGCGCAGGTCGGTGATTCCATACTGGAAGGCGATCTTCTCGTATTCACTGGGTTTCGCGTTCTTCAGCAACTCCCACACGTCCACCTCGGGTTCTTCCTCCTGCTGCTTCACCTCCCTAACCGGGGAGAACCATGGTCTAGTTTAGTAGCTGCACTGGCCCTTAGAGACCAGGAAGGTCGAGGTATGATTCTGCTTTTTCAGTTCAGTGTAAAAAAGCTCTGTTTAAAGCCTGAGTACTTGAAGCCCAGAAGTCAAGTCTTGCCTTGCTGGAATGGAAGTCTTAGGGAAACTTGCAGGTAGTAGAAGATCAAATGTGTGCCCTTATAGTAACACCTCTCGTTTTCCTAGTTAATAAAAACAATTTTAGGGGGAGTAGAGGACATCAGGAAATAGCCTAAAAATATATTTTACTTATTTTCAAATTTAAAGTCTAATTAGAAGATGGGATTTTGAGAAACAACAGTTTTCATCTAAGATATGGATATTGAATTATTGAAAATTGGACTAGAACTAAAAGGTTTAGATTTGGCCTATGAAATAAAAATGATCTCTTTCTATTTTCTTTGATGTACATGCCCTAGCTAAATATGGAGACAGTACAAATACATTATTTCAAACATTTGGATTTTGCAAATAGCATTTTCCCTACCATATTAGTAACTGAATACATTAACCATTTTTTACCTTTTTTAAAATACAAAAAGAAAAAGAAAAAGAAACTGCCATGAGTTTTTTGTTTGTTTTTCACATAGTGTTTATGGATACTGATGGTTTTTTAATTTTTTTTTTTCCTAAATTGGCAGGGGGAAAGGAGACTGGGTTTAAAAAATTTTCTTACATTTCATCTTAAAGTACTGTCTTGAATGTTTTTTGGAAGCAAATTTGGTATGAGTTATAAAAATATAAATGTTAAACTGTGGAACAAATGGTTTAGGGCACCATGAACAAGGGGAAAGTAACTTCTTAGGGTGCATATCAAAATTATGACCCCAACTTTTGATCATTGACTACAGAACACATAAAGAACATATATGACTTTAAAAAATAAGATTTAAGATTTACACTTGCCTTCCTTTCTTTTAAAAGCATAAAATAAAAGTAAAACTCAGAAATAAACACTCTTTTGGAAAACAGGCTTAGTATAAACAAATTGGTTTCCTTCATTGAATAAATAATCCTGATTTTGTTTATGTTTACATGACTGTTTTTATCAGGTTAATTTGGAAATGTTACAATGACTGCTTAGCATAATGCTGGTTTGGATGTGATTTTCTGGAAAACTGGTCAAACATCTTATACATCAGTGTGAAAATGAATTCATGCTATCATGTTAGGGAATGATGGGTTACATCTGTTTGCATTGTCATATTCATTACACCTGTTTCAGAGTGCCTTCTTTTTTTTTTTTTTTTTTCCTTTAAGACAGAGTCTCACTCTGTTGCCCAGGTTGGAGTGAAGTGGCATGATCTCAGCTCACTGCAACCTCTGCCTCTTGGGTTCTAACGAGTCTCCTGCCTCAGCCTCCCAAGTAGCTGGGATTACAGGTGTGCGCCACCACACCCAGCTAATTTTTGTATTTTTAGTAGAGATGGGATTTCACCATGTTGGCCAGGCTGGTCTCAAACTCCTGACCTCAAGTGGTCCATCCACCTCAGCATCCCAAAGTGCTGACCACCACACCCAGCCCGGAATGTCATCTTTATACTCATGTGTACTTTGAAAAGGAAATACTGGGTTGTAATCATGGATAAAAATATGCAGGGGAGGGGAGGAGATTATAAATATTAACATAGAGTTTAGGGTGGCATTAAGCAAGGATGACATCTAAATATCTAACTTCCATTTTACATTGTCATGTAAGTTTTTTTGCCCAGTGGGTTAGGGGGACATTGAGGCAGAACTCCTGGAAAATGAAGGGAAGTGAAAGGTCACTGGTCTCTCCAATAATCTTGATGGGAAGGACTAGACAACACCATTAGCAAAATGTGCCTCTTAAAAACTCAAGACACAAGCATTATCTTCATCTCACTGATAATAGCTACATCCTTTATTAACATGGGAAAATTGAAAAGCTTAAGAAAATTGTCCTGAAATTGGAATATTGGTAATAATTTGCCAGATCCACTAAATCTACTTCCTGGAAACAGTAAACACTTCAAATACATCCTTTAAATATTTTAGTAGGAAGTCTAGGAGAATCGCAATTATGATGTATATGTATAGGCCGGTGAGGTGGCTCAGTCTTGTAATCCCAGCACTTTAGGAGGCTGATGTGGGAAGATTACTTGGGCTCAGGAGTTCAAAACCAACCTGGGCAACACGGTGAAACCCTGTCTCTACCAAAAATACAAAAATTAGCTGGGCATGGTGGCGCATGCCTGTCATCCTAGCTACTTAGGCTGAAGTGGAAGGATTGCTTGAGCCCAGGAGGTCGAGGCTGCAGTGAGCCAAGATTGCGCCACTGCACTCCAGCCTGGGTGACAAAGCAAGACCCTGTCTCAAAGAAAAACCCCAAAAAGATGTATATGTATACTCATATGTGTATCTTTTCTGTGGGGTGTTCCCTCAATCTAATTTATTAGTGCTCTATTTTTGTCACATTGCAGCCTAAGTACAGTCCTCAGACTATAAAATTATACCATACTGGATTATGTTAAATTTCTATTTGAACCATGAAGAATTGCATATATACATTACATACTTCAGGTATCCTCCTGACATTGGCAGAGGATTTACAGATATCAAGCTAGATATAATTAAAACAGCTAACAAGAGGCACATGTCATTGAGTCCTACATAGATCCATGAGGGGAATATTTATATGAAGGAAACCAGTAATAAAGATGATAATTTTGAGTGTGATTTCCTGAGTCAGTTTTGTTGATAGATTTATAAAACCAATCATCCTCACCGTTTTTCATTAAAATGCCAGGATACTCTCCACTCTATCACATACTTAGTCGTATCAAATTTCATGTAAGAACAGCAATGACCTCTTGCCTGTTCCTTCCTTTTCTTTCCATTACTTAATTGTATCTCAATTAAGTATCTCAATATAGAGAAGCACCTATCTTGTACTGAAATGTGAGGTCAAGGCTCTCACCTTCAGCATTTCCTTAATGCACCTGGAACATATCTTTAGTTACTTACCATGGTGGCTGCACATGACCCTGTCTGCATGGCTATGTTAAGTTACAGTGAGGAGAAAAAGCCACATTTCTGTAGGCACTTCTGATTCTTTTCCAAGCCTCGGGATAGACCTGTATAATGCTCATGGTATTTTCATCTACATCAAAATTTCAATAACTTGGTGATCCTAGTGAAGAGTAAACAGTTATAGAAATTTCATGTAGAATACAACTTACAAGTATTTATACAGGTCAATTCCTATAATAGGATGCTGCCCAAAAGATTTAATCTGATTTAGCTAATGTCTATTTGAAGTAAGCTGGCTTTGTTCAGAGCAGGATGATCTTTCGTTGTACAGAGATGTTGGTTTTAATCATATATATATTTTTTTTCTCGTGGGGATTTTGGCACACACACTTGGAGGAGTAGAAATGGTAACCATGTATCATTACCGCAATGAAAACACAGGCAACTCACTAATTAGTAGGAGAACACAATGAGTTCTAAAGTTATATTAGTGGATTAGCACAGTATACTAAAAGAACATAACATAGCCTTATATTAACAACAATCTAATTATGAATGAAAATCTTAAGTAGGGGATAAGAGAAAATAAGAACTGAAGACATATTAGCTGCCCATTAAGTGATTTTTAAATTTTGTCATTTTGACCATGTAATTAGATTTATTTTATTCTGGAATTACTGGTTGAAAAAGTCTGTTCTTTTTTCTTTCTTTTTTTCCCTTTTTAATCAGAGCATGGTGCTTAATACTCTATCACATTTTTATTGATTGATTGTGTGTGTGTTTGTGTGTTGTCTCCTTATGAATATAAACTATGTTAGAGAAAATGACACATTTCCTTAGAGGAGGTGCATATTTATTTGCCACCTACTGTGAACCAAGCTTTTTACACTTAATTTAATGTGCACAATAATTCTATTAAGTAGCATTTATTCTTCACATTTCCAGGTGTGAAATCCAAGTCTCGGAGGGGTCAAATATTTGACCAAAGTCACATAATTAGTAAATGGTAGAGTTGAGACTCAATTCCATGTTTTTACCACTGTTTTTCCTCCCACAAAAGTGTATCTATCCTTTTCTATGTGCCAGACACTGGATTTCTTTTCCTCACATCAGTAGCATTATATTCTACACAAAGATAGTGTTTAGTATTTTCCTGAATGAGTAAATGATTGTGGGGGGAATAAAAAGCTCTTTTGTCTTCCTAACGTGTCAATTTGTATTATAAACTGAAGCACCAGCTTCCAAGGCAAATTCAGAGTGGCATCTTTAATGTGGAGTCACAGGAAATGAACTGACTCATAAAAGGGAAACCTGGATTTGGGTCCTGGCCCTGCCTTTAACTCCTGTGTGACTTGGGGTAAGTTACTTGGTATCTCTGTACCTTGGTTTCTTATCTGTAGAATGAGGAAATGTGAGGCTCACTTAAGGGCACTTCATATACTATTGCTTTAAATGCATTTGGGGAATTAATCAATATTATTGAGACTAATGGTTATTTGAATTAGTCTACTGATGGGCTGATATCCCTCAGTAATTAATAAATCACACCCATTAATATTTCTGTTCTCAACCTATATGTTGAGGGGTAGGGGTAAATTTTTCATTCATAGAGACTTGAATAAAGCTATCTAAACAGAGAATAAACACAATCCCAGTTTATTTCAAGTGTTTGTAATTTGTTATGAAGGATATTTGTACTTGTAGTCTTTTAATAACCATAGAAAGCACTAAAAGTAATTTTAAAAGCCTGGAAAGTTAAAGTGAAAACTGATATTATATACAATTAATTTAAAATTATAGTTTTACTCTGTTTATTTACAAATTTGCTAGATAAAACATAATCTCAGAAAAAAGTATTTCTTTTTGTTGCTTCTGCACTATAGTAAATATCTAGATATCTCTAATGTACATATAATATAGTGTATATATATAAGGAATCCTAGTGAAGAGTATAACAGTTATAGAAGTATATATATGGAGAGAAATCTTTTAAAATGGTTATGTTCTAAGTATCCATAATGAAATTCTATAAATTTTATTGCAGGAGAGAACAATGAAAAGGAAGTGTGAGTGTGTGATAATACTAAACTTTTATTTCCATTTTATCACTTCTAAAACACATTTTTGAGGCATTTTAAAGACCTCTGAAATGACAATGCATCTTATAATCAATGGTGTGTCAAACCATTTGGAACAATTTTTTCATTGCTTAGTGATTTATAAAGTACTGGTATATCTTAAAAGCAGTGGTGTCTTAGACCTGCAGAAATACAGTACATCATAAATAATATATTAAAGTAGGTGTGCCTCTTACAATGTGTATACCTTCAGACTTCTACCAAAATTGTAAAATTGATTTTTTGATCAAATATCAAAGAGAATGAAGGCTTTATTTATTCAGTCATGAGAAGGAATCATATGTACAGTCTTAGAGGTTTCTAGGTATTTGTCTTATGTCTCAGTTTTCATGTCTCTTCATCCCCACTTAAAAAAAATAGGTGAAGAGTCAGGAAACATTTAAAAAGAAAGTTTAAAAGCATCCGTTAAAGTCTTTAAAAGATTAGTATGCAGTTGTTTCTCTCTTTCTTAGTCAACTCTGTTATATTCTATAAGCAAAACACATTTTCAGAAATGAAAAATTCTTTGAAAAACATCCACTTTAAACTTGACTTCTCTGAGTGGGTGTCTGAAAGACTTCCAGGCCACAATGTCTCACTCCATCACTTGGTTCTCACCTACGTTTCAGGAGACCACTAAAGTCAAGTTCCCCTGCATCGTCTTGACCTTCTCCACTGTCGTTAACAAAAGAAAAGCAAATCTGGGTTTAATGCAGAGACATACACAACGATTTCCCCCAAACACTCTACATGTAACGTATATGCAATTTTGTACCACACGAGGACTAAATCAACACAAACTATTTCTTTTCACACAAGTGACATGTTAAGTTTTTGGAGTATGTACTTGTGGAAAAGTAAACATGAGGAGCTTGTGTTACTCTATGATTTCAGAAGACACATTTTTGTAGATTGCATATATAAAACTGCTTGGATTTGTGTTAAAACCAGGTAACACAAATGCACTTAAGCCAAGCAACACAAAGTACTTTGTTTTTGCAAGTTGGGGGCTCTGGAAACATACCTGTGTAAAAAGCAAAGAACTTTTGCTAATCTCTGTTATTCATGTAAGACAGAGATTGGCTTGGAGGACCAAGTGTACCAATGTCAGATATATAAGTACAAAGCCTTATATTCAATGGTAACCTCTTTGTGTCCATGAACAGGTGAATCAGATAATGTGATACCAACATGGCAAAAATAAAAAAGGAGCTAACACAGAACTTTTTAAAAGATGCATTCCTTTCTGTCTTAAAAGGTGATAATTATTCTCATTTTCTTATTAATATTTATACCTTCTTAAATGTATTTTAAAAAAATTTGTCTTGAATTGTTAACGAAACTTTTACTAGCAGTTTTAAAAAGTGCTTTCCTGTAGAGAAATGCATCTTAAATTAGGCATGCAGCCACCATTGTGATTTCATATAAACTGTAACTAGAAGCTATAGAGCTAACATTTAAATGACACTACATAGTTACTTACATGTTTAATTTTTTAATGAAGTTTTGTTTCCTGCTCTTTACAAATGTTAGTTATAGTTTCTAAGAAAAGAGTCTGTGGGTTTAAAAACAGTGTGTATAACGTAAGTCATAAGAATTAAACTCAGTAATGTGTTTTCAAAATTTCTTCAGGTGTTTGCAGGCCTTTTGAAGTAAATACATTTGTGTTCTTTTAAAGCTGGAAACTTAGTAGGTCATGTTTCCCTCTCCTGAGATATACGTGTATACAGTATGAGCATAGTTTTAGACCTATGCATTTGCCGAGCATGGGATGAAGGGGAAGTGGAAGGAAAGTAATAAAATTTGAAAGTTATGACATTTTTAAAAATTAAAAAATACCTAATACCAGTAATATTAAATAACTTTTCAAAGTAATTTTCTGATTTATTTGTAATATTGGAGGAAAATATGCCTCATTAACAGGCTAAATTATTGTTTTGTAATAGTTTGGAGTGACTTTCCTTATTCAGCAAAACTGTATGTGGATTCAGTCTTAGGAAAAACAAAACATTTGGTCTCATTAAAGAATTTATATTATGGAATAATTAAGTACAGAGAATAACATAATGACAGGAAGGGGCTGGTTATATTTCTTAGAGACCAAAAATCTCTTAAATTTTTTCCTTGACCTCCCACCCCCAATTTTTCAGCCTTGGTAATTGCAAAAATATATGAAATAGGTATCTAAATTTTGCCTTTCTGTGGTATTCTTAATGCCAGTTTCATTTAGGATAATCCAAAATTATATGGCACTAACTTCAGTAAGTAGCTACTTAGTTGTGGTTTTCTTGGGCACGTGGTTCAGTAGCTCCCTAAGGGATTTCTAGATAAAAGGCAATATAAATAAAAAGTTTTCTGCCATGACTTAACCAATGAAATGAGTCTCTTTGCATATTTCTTTTGGCCATTTGGTGGAAAATAATGCTTTAAGGAAGAAGCCACGTATGAATACATTGAAAGTGTCTTTCTAAGGCAACTGTAAAACCTCCGAAACAGGAACTTCATTATAACAAGAATATTCTAAAAAATGGTCAGTATATGCTTGACTGGGCCTTAAACCCAAGGCTGTTCTACAACACCCACGTTTAAATATATGGTGTGTTTGACTGTGGTGAAAAGGGTTGTTCGTATTTGGAATACGGAATACAGGGGAAGGGAAATGTGTTTGAAAATCCTCCACTTCTGTGTTATACAAAAGCTATCTAGATTTTCCTTTTGGAGTTACCTTCTCTTGAAAGCAGATCTGATGTCAATGTTTGGAGTAGTCCCAGTAGATTCTTTGAAAGGAAAGAAAACAATAACATAAATACCCATTAAGGCGGTAGTTTGTGTTCAGTTCCTTTATAGGCTATGGGGATTCTTTAGATGGAAGAATGTCAGGTGAAGTGGGGATGCTTTTCCCCTGAACAGCCGTGCTGCCACAGCCTCATCATACCTCCTCCTCCCTCATGAAGAACCAATGAAGGGACCTTGGGGGTCACTCGTCCAGGTGTCATTCAACTTGTCTGCCCACTAGAATCACTGAGGGACTTAAAAATGTATCAGTTTCTTGATCCTGTCTGCCAGAGATGTTGATCCACCAGATCAGGGAGGGGCACCCAGAAATCAATATTCTTAAAAAGCCCTCCAGGGGCCAGGCGCAGTGGCTCACGCCTGTAATCCCAGCACTTTGGGAGGCCGAGGCGGGCAGATCACGAGGTCAGGAGATCGAGACCATCCTGGCTAACACGGTGAAACCCCGTCTCTGCTAAAAGTACCAAAATTAGCCGGGCGAGGTGGCGGGCGCCTGTAGTCCCAGCTACTCGGGAGGCTGAGGCAGGAGAATGGCATGAACCCGGGAGGCAGAGCTTGCAATGAGCTGAGATGGTGCCACTGCACTCCGGCCTGGGCGACAGAGCGGAGCAAGACTCTGTCGCAAAAACAAAACAAAACAAAACAAAAACAAACAAAAAAAAGCCCTCCAGGTGATCTTCTCAGAGACAGCCAGGGTGAAGCAGTGCTGCCCAGGATTCCAGATCCCACCTGATATGGAAATATCGACAGCACCCGACCCATGGCCCTCCAGCCTCTGCTTGACATTGCTCTCAGTGGGACTCTCACAACCTTCCCGGGCTGTCTGTATAGCTTTAACCAAAGAGCTCATCCTTTTTTTTTTTTTTTTTGAGATGGAGTCTCACTCTGTTGGAGCGCAATGGCACGGTCTCCGCTCACTGCAACCTCCGCCTCCCGGGTTCAAGCGATTCTCCTGCCTCAGCCTCCCAAGTAGCTGGGATTATAGGCGCCCACCACCACGGCTGGCTAATTTTTGTATTTTTAGTAGAGACGGGGTTTCACCATGTTGGACAGGATACTCTCGAACTGCTGTCCTTGTGATCTGCCCGCCTCGGCCTCCCAAAGTGCTGGGATTACAGGAGTGAACCACCGCACCTGGCCAGCTCATCCTAATGTTAAGACAAAATTCACCTCCTCATCGTTTTCACCTTTTGATTCTAAACTGCCTAAATGTTTCTCATGCATGGAAATTTGTTTTCCATGTTCTATATGACAGCCCCTTCCCCTCTTTGCAACAAGCTGTGTATGCCTGACTTCCTTCACCCACACACTCAAGCTGGATAGGGTGTGGTTTTTGGATTCTTCATCTTCCTGGTTACCCTACTCCAGAAGATGTCCAGGCAGAGGTACACTGCCCAGGCTAAAGACATCGCTCCAAGTGTAGAACAAGTAGCATGTTGTAGAGAGAAGTATCATTTCCTAAACTTAGATCCTATACCACTTGGAATAGCCCAGTTTAAAATTACAGTCATGGTTGGGCACCGTGGCTCACACCTGTAATCCCAGCCCTTTGGGAGGCCAAGGCAGGTGGATCACTTGAGGCCTGGAGTTTGAGACTAGGCTGGCTAATATGGCGAAACCCCATCTCTTCTAAAAATACTCCCGCAAAATTAGCCCAGCGTGGTGGCGCATGCCTGTAATCCCAGCTATTTGGGAGGCTGAGGCATGAGAATCGCTTGAACCCAGGAGTTGGAGATTGCAGTGAACCAAGACTGTGCCACAGGACTCTAGCCTGAGCAATAGAGTGAGACTTTGTCTCAAAATAAATAAAATAAAATAAAATTACATTTGCTTTGTCTTTTGCAACTACATCACTCTTTACATTCACCTTAAGTTTATAATATTTGCTGCCAAGTCAACTTTTCCTTTGTATACTTGTAAAAGTGAATTTTTTTCCAACTTCAATGTATGCATTTAGGCCTTGTATGTTTACTCTGGGTAGTACACAGAACATATGGATGAAGAGCTGCCATGCCTGACATTAGTCCTTATAAAAGAAATTCTCCCTTCCACCTGGGTATCCTGAACTCTCATAGCATATTACCCTATCACCAAACCTAAGTGGGAAAGTGGACCCCATGAAACATACATTCTGTAGCAGCAAAAACTGACAACATCTTTTATCTGGGAGACTGAAGAAATATAGATAGTATGGACAAGAGATATTTAGTGATAAAATCCCCCCAATTCTACTTTTAGTATAAATTATTTCATTACAATTCAATTCAGCAGGCTTGCTGAGACTACCACAATCAAAACCACACAGTTTTAAAGGAAAAATTTCCCCGAAATCTCATAGTATTAAATGAACAACTTCTCCTCCATCCCCTCACATCCTATTAAAAAATTACATTTATCTAGGCAAGAAGATTCTCTTACCATGCACTTCAAGATCAAATGAACAGCTGTCAAACTTATCCTTATAGGTGACCTCGCATCTGTAATTTCCTGCATAGTTCTCTTTGGCCTTGATGATCTGCATCTCAAATGTGTACACCTGCAATGAAATGCATCCAGACACACACATTTCGGTTTATTTTCCAAATTTCTCAGCATTGGCTTAAAGCTGTGTCTATCTGTGGGAATTCCAGTACAATGTTCTCAATATAGGAGGGCAAATGTGTCCTGCAGCCCCCGGACACAGCAGGGCAATCGCAATAGAGTGTAGGCACTAGCAATGGTAACTTCAGAGGATTTTCTGGAACTGAAGTCTCTCCAAGCTGAACCTGAAAGTGATCATTTATTCACACAGAAGGAATGCGCTAGCTGAGCCCCTGTCCTGGCAGTTCAGGGCCTTACCCGACTGTGCCTCTCAAAGGTTTCCTTCAACTGAAGGTGCTTCCCGGCTTTGCTGGCCAGATCCATCCATTTTCCTTTGAACCATTTGACAGTGGGTTTTCTCAGAAGATCTTCAGCCTTGACTTTGGCTATGAAGGTGATATTTTCACCTAGAAGAAGCATAAGGAATTCAGCTTGCTCTTTAACTAGTGTCATTTGTTTTGCTTTCAACTGGAAGGAGTTGACACAGGACTGCACTACAGAATATGGTGTGATTGGTGCCCTTGTATTGTGCAATGAATTGGTCCTGATTTTTTTATGAATGCTCTGGAGGTCCTTAGGCTGTTCCAGCTTGTTCTGCTTTGGGGGTTTATGAAGCAGAAAAAACAATAGGGAAACCAGTGGAAGTAATTTTTATATATGGATAATTTTACATTTGGATAATTTTAAAATTTCATATATACGGATGTATACGAAATTTTATTTCATATATATGGATGCATACAAAATTTTATTTCATATGTATGGATATATGTGAAATTTTATTTCATATATACGGAGGTATACGAAATTTTATTTCATATATATGGATGCATACAAAATTTTATTTCATATAGATGGATAGATGCATATATGGATATGTATAAAATTTTATTTCATATATCTGAATATAATATGAAATAAAAATGAAAAGATTGAATTTTTTTCACCCTTTTTGTTAGGCAAAGTGATGAGAAGCCTGGAATTATAGGAATGTGACTAAATCAAACTGATCTGCTTGAAGTAAACCTGCCAATCTGTTTGTATTGAGTGATTTAGACCCTGAGGACATGACATTGTAGTCCAGCTTCCAGCCCAGCATTTCAGTGTCTTACAGGAACACAAGGGGAACCAACATTTCTGTTCACATGCCATGTACTTTGACATTCTAGCCTGGAAAGAAGTAATTCTGGAATACAGTTAGCTGTGTACTCATTTGCATAATATTGATAAGTGTCAAAGACTAGTTCAGATCATAATATATCCCTTATAAAGATTTATTTGGTTAAACTTCTTCAACCCTCGGGTCCTCCTCCAGCTCACCATCCCTTCATAGCACTTGGCATTTGTGATTATTTGTTTAATTTTTTGTCTGCTCCTCTCAGACTGTAAGTTCTGAGTGCTTACATGTTATACTCAGTACCTAAAACAGGAGGTATATAATCAATATTTTTGAATTTGAGTATTTGAAGAGTTGAACAATTTGTCTGATCAGCTGTCTCAGATATTATGAATTATGACCTAGCGCATGTGTAGATTTGGAATCATCTTATGGAGTGAGCTATGATAATGTCAGCAGACACTGGCTCAGAGCATTATGGTGTGTCAGGCACTGTTGAAAATACTTCACAGCTAGGTCCTATTATTGTCACCATTTTACAGATGGGGAAACTGAAGCATAAGGAAGTTAAACTGTCTTTCCAAGGGCAACAGCTAGCAGGAAGCAGAATCAAGATTGGAACCCAGGGTTCCAGGGTTCCAGGGTCCAGGCACTGGACTCCTATGTGCCGAAGGTTACTGAAATCATAGCTGTCACTCATCTTTTCAGGTTGTGAAAAGCAGGATTTAGTATATACACACAGTGGAATATTATCCAGCTGTCAAAAGGAATGAAGTTCTGATACATGCAACAATGTGGATGAACTTTGGAAACATTATGCTGAGTGAAAGAAGCCAGACACAAAAAGTCCTGCATTGTCTGATTCCATTAACATGAAATATCCAAAATAGGTAAACCCAGAGAGACAAAGCAGATTAATGGTTGCCGGGGCCTGGGAGGAGAGGGCAAGGGGGAGTAACTGCTTAATGGGATATGGGATATAGGGTCTTTTTGGGATGATGAAAATGTTTTAGAAATAGAAGTAGTGGCTGTACAACATGGCGAACATACTAATAGCCACTGAATTGTTCACTTTAAAATGGTTAATGTTATAAGTGAATTTCATCTCAATTTTTTTTTTTTTTTTTTTTTTACAGAGATTATAGCTTCGGGGGGTACATGTGCAGGTTTAAAGGAATATTGTGTGATGCTGAGGTTTTTTTTTTTTTTTTTTTGAGACAGAGCCTGGCTCTGTTGCCCAAGCTGGAATGCAGTGGTGCGTTCTCCATTCACTGCAGCCTCTGCCTCGTGGGTTCAAGAGATTCTCCTGCCTCAGCTTCCTGAGTAGCTGAGATTACAGGTGTCTGCCACCACGCCCGGCTAATTTTTGTATTTTTAGTAGAGACTGGGTTTCACCATGTTGGCCAGGCTGGTCTCGAACTCCTAAGCTCAAATGATCTGCCTGTCTCGGCCTCCCAGAGTGCTGGGATTACAGGCGTGAGGCACCGTGCTTGGCTCACCTTAATTTTTTAAAAAAGGTAGGATTGAATGCTAGGCACTCACCAACTTTCACTGTTCCTCCTTGAGGTTTTTCAACGAACAAGATGGACAGCTGGGAGTTGGCATTCTGCTTGTCTTGTTCCTCCCCAACAGGTGACTCGCCAAGGGACCATTCTGATGAGCAGAAAGGAGGAAAAGGATTATTTCAGAGCCAGGCTCTTCTTAGGCAGTCTTACCTAGATTTGTTGTTCTCACCAATGTTGCAGCTTTTCTTTGTCTAATAAACCTAGATAAATACAACATCATTCTTTCCACTCCCAGCAGCCATCAGTAGAGGGGAACAGATTCCCATTCTTACAGGGGTATCTCTTCCATGACAGGGCAAAGGCACATTATGTAATTCCTAGAAATAGTGGAACTTTCCAGGTAAGCTGTTATTCTCTCTTTGTTGACTGCCATAGTTCCTTTGCTTCCCCATCTTGCCTGTCCCCTAACAGGTAAACAATGGTGGTCAGCGTATCGAAGCAGAACTCTTGGTGTTTTTCTAGGTGATGGACTATAAGGCCACATCGATACAACTACATGAAAAAGATTAAAGGGATAGGTCATTTGGAGAGTAAACTGTCTGACAAGGGTCAGAAAGCCACGCCTGGCCTGGTATTTCTAGATTCCTTGCTTTTGAAAGAGAGTTTTATTAGGGTTGTACAGATGTGGCCATAGTTTGACAAGGAAGTAACAGATCATGACCTGTGGTACAAATTGTAAGGATACTAGGATTGTGCTGCAAGGGGAAAAAACAAAACAAAACAGAGAACTGGAAAGAAAAAAAACTGAGGCTTTCCCATGAAGAGAGACAAGCTGGAAATAGAGTTTCTTTTGCATCTTCTCATTTGCACTCTGGTGATTAGTGTTAATCTGCAGTCAATTCCAATTCTAGGATAGTAGAGAGAACTGTAGATAGTCCCCCTGTCTCTGAGCCGAATGCAGAGTTCAGGTGCAGCCACTTAATAACTGGAAAAAAAATGCATAGGTTGCAAACTCTCTGCTTGTTAATATTTCTTGAAAAGAAGGAAAATGCACATTTAATTATTTTAGTTTTCGTGTATCAATCATGCTTGATATTTCTATCTGTAGTAGTAGGCCATCATTTTCACAATGAAGTTAAACATTTTCACAATCATGTGACAATCATAGTCATATGATTACACGTTTTTAAACACCCAAGTTAATGTTAAGATTTTATGTTGTTTGTGTTTATGATATTAATAGGAACACATTTAGAACATGAGGATAAGTGTTTCTCTTGTTTTGTTCACTTCTATACCTGCAGTGCCTATAGGAGTGGCTGGCCCATAAGAGGCCCATAATAGGATCATATTAGGTCCTCAATACAAATTTGTTGAACGAATGAATGAATGAATGACTTCACAGAACAGGAGCTACAGCTGATAGGATGCATTTGAAAGTGTTTTATCATCTGTATGTAAAGTTCTATAAAAATGTGAATTATTATCTAACTTTAGCACATCCCCAAAATGAAGATTGATCTCTGTGTATTTGCTAAATACTAAATGTGATAGAACAAATCTGTGGCATATGTGGCTAGATCCTTGAACGTGTGTGTATCATGCAAAATTAATTGTTTCTCAATACATTAGTTTTCTTGTAAGAGGAAACATAATGAAAGATTGCTGTAAAAACTACAATCTGAATAAGACAAGGATTAGAATCAATACAGCTTCAAGAAAAGAGCTCATTAGTGATTGTATTAGGATGAGGTCAGGATGCCTTGTCTGGGCTTGTGCTCACCTGAATCTTTTCTCTCCAGGGCCCGACTACCCAAACCTGAAAGGAAAGTGTGATTTGGGTGATGCAGAGGGATGGAAAGGCGATGAAAATGGTGTGCTGACTTCAACCTTCTTAGACTCCGCTAAACCCTGTCTCCTCTGGTGATAGGAAGGAAAAAAACCCCTACAAGTTGGCTTGGATAGAAAATCAGTAGAGCTCCAAGTATGAAAGCATCTATAAAAGTGTATGTCTTATTTTAAAATGATAGAAACATTTAAAAATCCCTGCTGGGTGTGGTGGTTCACGCCTGTAATCCCAGCACTTTGGGGGGCCAAAGTGGGTGGATCACTTGAGGTCAGGTGTTCGAGACCAGTCTGGCCAACATGGTGAAACCCTGTCTCTTCTAAAAATATAAAAATTAGCTCAGCTTGTTGGTGCATGCCTGTAATCTCAGCTACTCAGGAGGCTGAGGTACGAGGATCACTCGAACCTGGGAGGCACAGGTTGCAGTGAGCTGAGATCGCACCACTGCACTCCAGCCTGAGCAATAGAGGGAGACTCAGTCTTAAAAAAAGAAAGGAAAGAAAGATTTAAAAATCCAAATATCTAAGTTTAAAGAACAGGGGGAAAACATGGATATACAGTGAGAAATGGAAGACAGATATGTTGACCCCTAACATTTATACCCAAGATTTACCAATCTTATTTATTTCTCAAAGGATGCCTCTTTCTAAGAAGTTTCTCATGTAAAACAAAAAATTGTCATTAAAGCCAACATTTCCTTCTTGGTGCCATCACAGGCGAAACCTGTTGCCCCTGCTCTGTGCACTGGCTCAGCAAAGAGGCTCACTGCCTTTTCTTTTCCTCTACTGTCAAGGAAGAATACATTTAAAAGCAGGGAAAAGGGTAGAAATTATCCTAACCTGGAGGCAAGGCGCTAGGCGGGGAGACTTCCTCTTCATCTGAAACAAGAAATAGGAGTAAAAAGTCAAGGAGAAAAGGACTTCATCCCAAGTAACCTGCGAAAAGAGAAATCTGAAAAAGAAGATGACAAACCACACAATACACTTTCAACTGCTGAACAAGCCTTAGAAAACTTGGTACCTGCAAAGTGAAACCTGTGTATTGCTGGCAAAGAAAGAAAAAATAATAAATAAAAAGTTGATAGAGTAGGGTAATCCAAATGGAAGCGCGCAGATTTAAAAATGGAACACTGCAAGTGTTTTATGTGACTGTAGGTTAGGAAAAAATGAATGCTAAAAATCAAACCTTGATGAAATCAATAATGGAAGTGGTTTTCAAGTCCTGATTTTGTAGCTAAAGTGAATGGCAGACATTATTTATATATCACATTCGTTTGGACACAGACATAAAAGTCTATATATGTACTATCTGAGAACTCATTTCCACCCAGAAAACCTCATGATTAATTGCTCTTCAGTATTTAAGAAACAGAAGTCAAGATAAGTTAATATAAATATACACTTTATAAGCATTTTTTCCAACATTATATTGGTATTGAACAGTGCTGTGTAATTTCTTAATATTTACCCATATGTATTTGTGAAATTCAAAATATGTCTTTTCATGTTTATGTGCAGAATATTTCCCTTTTTAAAAACATCTGAACTTCAAAGTTCACATTTTATGTATTTATTTTGGATAAACAAGTTTATATGTAAATTCAACTAGCATACTAGTTGACTTAAAAGCTTCAGTAGAAGGATACATTTTAAAACCGCTTGGAAGACCATCTCTATAAAAGTGATTTTCCCAGAACAGTAACCAGACGCAGCCTAACCCAACACCATCTTAATTGGCAGAGGTTCAGTGGGCTGGAGCTTTGTGCTTTTTGCTTTTTATAATACAAATGCTATGAGAAAAAGAACGTCAGTATTGTTTCCTGTTAGCAGAGGAGGAAAGCTCAATCTAGTTAGGAGACCAACCACAACAAAATGAAAAGCTGCACTAACTAATGAAGAATATTAGTAACACATGATGCTGGCATGAACAACTTGCATTTTATTCTAGAGCCCTTATAAATAGGATCTCCCCAGTTAGTGTTTATATTATCAGCCAGAGGGTTAGTTATCGTGTGGTAGAATGAGGACTTATGCAAGGTATAAATGCGCATAGCATTCACCACTATGAAAACAAGTACAGTCCAGTTAGAATAGAACCAACTGGACTCTACACACACCTTAATGATAAGATTCCCCATCACTTGTGAATGTAAAACATTTAATTTAAAAATGTTAACATTCCAATATATAAAACAGCTACTATGAATGCACCTGGTATATTCTATAGCTGCCAGGTTTGTTTGTTTGTTTTTAAGGAAACTATAAGTTACAGTGTGGTTAAGACGTTTATCTTCATCTTTGAAAAAGCCCACATTCTATCACAGTGATGTATGGTCAGACTTAACAGCCCCAGTTGTTAAACACCTGGATCAAGTCATAACCAGTTTTATTGCAAAGGACCCTGTACACATTTGTCACTTCTAGTACCTTCCTAGTTACCCAGCAAGTCACTAACATACAGAAACATTCATCACGAGAAGCAAGAAATACTACTCATCCCTTCTGCATTACAGCAACTTGTTACTTGTGAGCTACAGTGCTCACATCACGGAGGTCTGTGAACAGTCAAAGTTCACATTTTACATCCTTAAAGAGGCATTTGGTGTCATCTGGACCTCTGCTGTGCTCTTTCCAAAGCATACACTAGTGCTTTTATGAATAATAAAATCTTCGTACTTAAAATACTAGAATATTTGTGAATTTACGGCCTGGGCAACGTAACAAGACTATCTCTGTAAAAAAAAAATAAAAAAAAAATTAATTAGCCAGGCTTGCATATTATTTGCATGCTGAGAGCTTGGTGGTGTGTGCCTGTAGTCTCAACCACTTGAGAGGTTGAGGCTAGAGGGTTACTTGAGTCCAGGAATTGAAAGCTGTAGTGAGCCATGATCATGCCACTGTACTCTAGCCTGGATGACACAGCAAGACCCTGACTCTAAAAACAAAAACAAAAACAAACTAGAATAATTGTAGATTTCAAAATGCAAATGTATATGACTGTATAAAACAGGATACAGGAAACACATGCACAGGAATGTTAATTAAAAAGTGCTTTAAAAAATTCCTGACAAAAAGACATAAAATAGTATGTTTTTATATAATCTATTAGAATATTTACTACAAGTATTACCTGCTGGCCTGAAATTTCTTTTCCCAAACTGTCAAACAGGGATATGTGTTATTACTTTTTATTAAAATAACTAATGTATTTATAATATATTAATATAATATATTAATATCATTACTTCAGAATCCAAGAGGTGATTCACTGGGTCATGTGGGATTTGAGATTCTTAACACGAAGCTCTCTGTGGTCGAAGAAGCTTGAAAAATGCTAGGCTGGAGTTAAATGCTTGTATTTTATTGTTTTGTGTTTGTGTGTTTGCTGCAGGACATCTCAAAGCTCTCAGTGTGCAAATAATGCGTACTGGAAATGGGGGTGACAAGAAATGATATGGTCGTTAGCACCTCCCAAACTTAGTTCACTTTGAATTTTTTTCTCCTGAACTAATATGCATGCATTCACATTCCACAAAATTGTGCATTTGCCCGGTATAGGGATTTCTGAGCTATTAGGAGAATTCTGTGTTTCAGAAGACTGTGAAATAATTAAAATTTTACATTATCAAAAATAAAATAACTTGTGATTTTCCCATAATTTTACTTGCCATAGATTTAATTCAGTATTCAGTACTTTATTCTTGTCACCTAGTCAAAGACTTTTATTTACTGAAATATATAAGATTGTTAATTTAAAGTCCTGTAAAAATGAACAGAAATGAAGTTAAAATTCAATCACATCCTAGAAAGGAGCTTTCTTTGTGAAATGTAAACTAGAAGCTTGAACCACTTTGATTCAAATGAACACTTTATAAAGGTTTTGTGGTGGTTTACTTTTTGTTTGTGCACAGAGCATAATGAAACATTGAGTTAATGATGTAGAACACAAAATGATTGAGAAGAGTATTCACTTACTTTCATGAAACTAAAATGAAGAAAAAAATCTTGTCTTTAAAAAATTGATTGATACATAATGATATTTGCACATATTTACAGGGTACATGTGATGGTTTGTTATATGCATAGAGTATGTAATGATGGCAGTCCGGGTTTTTTTGTTTGTTGTTTGAGACAGAGTCTCACTCAATCACCCAGGCTGGAGTGCAGTGGTGCAATCTTGGCTCACTGCAACCTCTACCTCCAAGGTTCAAGCAATTCTCGTGCCTCAACCTCCTGAGTAGCTGAGACTACAGACATCTGCCACCACACCCAGCTAATTTTTGTATTTTTAGTAGAGACAGGGTTTCGCCATATTGGCCAGCTGGTCTCGAACTCCTGGGCTCAAGCAATCCTCCTGCCTCGGCCTCCCGAAGTGCTGGGATTACAGGAATGAGGAGGCACCACGCCTGGCCAGCAATCTGTTTTTTAAGCAAAAATTTGATAGGTGAGTAGTTTCAACGTCTACTAAATGTTAAGACTATTTGGAGGACATGCACAATTGTTTTAGACTATGAAGGAACACATATTAATGCAATGCTTCAGAGTATCATGAAATAGTCTTCCTCTAGATTACCCAACAGTAATTTCAAACAGCAATTACTTCTCAATTGGCAATCTTTGATTCATTGCACATAAATTTTCAAATTTACAGAAGTGCTAGAAAACATAATCAACATGAGCAAAGTTTACTGTTTCCTTTCTTTTATTTTTATTTATTAATTAATTTTTGTTTTAGATGAAATCTCACTCTGTTGCCCAGGCTGGAGTGCAGTGGCACCATCTCAGCTCATGGCAGCCTCCGCCTCCCAGGTTCAAGCAATTCTCCTGCCTCAGCCTCCCAAGTAGCTGGAAATACAGGTGCTTGTCACCATGCCTGGCTAATTTTTGTATTTTTAGTGGAGATGGGGTTTCACCATGTTGGCCAGACTGGTCTCAAACTCCTGAGCTCAAGTGATCCTCCTGCCTTGGCCTCCCAGATTGCTGGGGTTACAGGCATGAGCCACCTTGCCCAGCCAGTTTCCTTTCTTTTAAAAGTTGTTTCAGTCCTGGCACTTTTTTTAGATTGGGAAATGTAGTTAAGATATTGGGATTCTGACTTTAAATTCTAAAAAAAAATTGCCTGGATTGATTTGGTTGAGTTCAATGATACTGAAATGTTTAATGGTTCTTATTTGTCATAGAAACCAGATTCTATTGCTACGAGGTAGATTGAATATCCAAACCTTTCTGGTTGTGTCCAGTTCAACAATATATATATGAATGACGTAGCATCTTACAAACAACATTTTCAAACAAACCAAAAAAAATATGTGTCATATTTCATTTTTTTCCTATCTAAAAGTGGTGATGATGAATACATAAACATCAGGTTTTAGCTTGTTGGAATATGACATACAGGGAAACCACACACTCAGCGTAGCAGGGCTATCTTCCCCTAGCTACATAGAAGGGCAATTTACCAAAGTGGAATTTTATTCATCTGTAAGTCATGGGAAAATAGCATTTGTAAGACCATAAAAATGATTCTTTAAACAACTGAAGTTCCCAGAGAAGAACTTCTAGAAAGTAGGGAAAGAACCCAGTCTTGTATTACAAGCCTGGGATTTTAGGGAGTACACATAAATACTTCGTAATGTGAGAGTCTTGTAACTGAATAAAAAGCTCCAGAGATAGTAGAATGTGTACATTCTTCTAGTTATCCAAACTCTCTTGAGCATAAAATAACTCCTACCTATGGCTGATTTTAAATTGCCTTTTAAAATTATTTAAGCAATATACACTTGAGACAATTGTTGAGATTTAAGAATAAAGACCAAAAGCTTATGAAATTGTGACTTGTAAACAAACAGTGACATACTGATACAATACCTTGTTTGATTGAGACAAATTCATGAATTCCTCAAGCAGAGCAATCAGTTGTAGTACATACTGGTGTTTGTGACCAAAATAACAACAGCAATAAAATATGGGAGACAATAACAATAGCTAATGTTAATTCATCATGTTTTGAGGCATTCGGTTAATTTATTGCATTTTCTGAATGAGACGATACATGCCTTCACACTTTGGTGCTTATAAAACCATGATTTATCCTACAATACATATGTACATTTAATGATTTTTTTCTTCCCAGAATCTATTAAATCAATCTTGCCTAATAGTGGCTGTGTCTTTGAATTGAAAAGTGTGGTGACATCAATTTTTAACAAAGTTCATTACAAAGAAGTAATGTAATTAGAATACATAGATCAAGCATGGAGAAATTTTAATAGATGGTTGATTGACACCTAAAGGTAAATCGTACAAAAATATTTTAGCATGCTAGTAAAAAGCGCCAGGGTAATGTTATTGCAGATGTAAAAGAACCTAAATTTTTTTTAAAATCTTTTTTAAATTTAAAACAAAATCACATAATTTAGGAGAAAGTGTGTTGGAACTTCTGCTGATTCACTTCCTCATCTGTCAGTCACCTTCATAAAAAAGAAAGACTTCATCTCAGGTTATGTGAGATATTTAATACACACAGGGTTCATTCACAATAGTTTATGTGGCAAATGCCTGGGAAAGGAAAATAAGTTTTTATTTCCCTTTTAGCGATGACCAAAAACAGTAATAAAAAAAAGGAAGTAACTTCACCAATTGAAAAGATACAGACTCTAAGCTAATAAGATGTAAAAATAAAATATCAGCACTTAGGCATGGAAATGAGTACTGGTCTTCAAAGTGGTCTCTGATTCTAATGCTGCTGTCACTTTTTGAACCAGCCACAGAACCATTTTCAGAGCTTTCCACAGGGCCAGCTGTTGAGGCACAGCAGAAACCTACTCCGATTACCCTATGTTCAGACATAGGATGTTGGATCTTAGTTGACGAAAAAAAAGTATGATCCCACTTGATCACCCACATTATTCTCTACACATGGCCCTCTGTAACTCTTGTCTGCTTCCAAAAGTGAAATCCACCTTCCTCTGTTGATGGTTGTTCTTCCCCATAAAGTGTAACTTGGCTCCAGGAGGGCAGGACCCAGTGCCCAGATCTGTGCCTGGCATGTAGCCAACACTCAGCAAATCTTGCTGAATAAATATGTGCTAGAATAAAAGGCGGACCTTTGGCCCTACTGAGCATACAGAAAAGAATCTATACTTAGCGTTCCATTGACTTGCTACCTATAATTATTATGAAAGAATTCTAAGCCAGGACAGCATTATTTTTATAAGGGCATTGCCTCCTGGTATGATTCCTCTGAAGGAGATTTGCACATCGAATTTCTGCTATTGCTGTTTGGTTAAACATATTTCTTTATTGTCATCTCTCTTGTTGCAATTCCAGGATACTTTGCCCAGGTCCCAGGACAAAGTGGTCAGTATTAAGGAACAGGATAGCCGGATGGATAGCCAGATGCAAACAAGCAAGCAAGCAAACAAACAATAATAAAACCCCGTGCTGGGAAATTGGCTGCTTTCCAGACAGAGACTTTTAGCAAATCTGAAAAAGTTGGCAAATCTAACCACAAACACTGCTTCTACGATTAATATCAGAGTCAAGTCTCTGTGGCTTCAAAAAGTATTTTCAGAACATTTCTGAGCTGTTGCAGAATGATTCAATCAATCTAGAAATGATGTTAAGGCTGCATTCCTATGATTAATAATCTTAATAGTGACAGATTTGGAGCAATTAATTGAATATCTGTCAACTAATTAAAGACCAGTTAAAGTGCTGAAAATGTACCAAAATCCAGGCATGACCATTTTTAGTAGCTTTAGGCAAGTTGGTCTTACAGAGAAAATCATCCATCTGTTCTGCAGTAGTGCCTCATTCTAACCCTCAGTGACTAAGAACGTACATGGGATGCTCATCCTCCTACCCAGCACTCATGGTGAACGGAAATAAAAATCTATCCAGATTACCACTGAATGGTCAGCAGCTAAGCCAGCATGGAAATTCAACTGCTCATTCATTTTGCAAGTATTTATTAGATGATTGCTCTGTACAGCTCTCTGCCAGATGCTGGATGGAATAAGATGAGGGGCCCAATGTCAAAAAGCTTACAGCCTGTTAGGAAAAGGAGTCAACCATTAATGCGTGATTACATGGAGACAAGAGTGAAAGATGGAGGCAGTAGGTCCAAGAGAAATCAGGAGAAAGAAGGGGAGATAAAAGTGAGCCAGGATGGTCAGGGGAAAGCTGTACAAAGGAGTGAAACCTGAGTTTGATAGTTAAAAAAAAAAATTAGATAGACTGACAGTTGGAGGATGGAGGGAGAGCAGGAGAGTTCTAGCTCATGCTGGAGAAAAGGTAGGTTGCACCCATCAATCCTGTTTATGCCCGTGCAGGGCTCTTTTCTCAACTGGAGATATACATGTAGCAGTAATTATTGTGTCTACTTTTTGGTTAAGTATTTTGTCTGTGCTTGATGAAAGTGGGTAATAGTTGAAGAGGACTGTATATTTATAATAAACTTCCATCCACTTACCTTCTTTATTTAGGGATGTCACTTTCTATCCTAAATTGATTTGCTTCCTAGGCATGTAAGGCAAATACATATATATACATGTATTTGCCATTATATATGTATACACACACACACACACATGGCAGTTTTTGTACCCGGGCGTGCAACTGCAGGTGGTCATGGTTTTGCTTATCTTCTGCAAATGTCAGAAAAATGCTACTAATTTCAAAATGCCCTAGTCATCTAGCCTTGCTCTTTCATCATGCTGTGTTCTCCATAAATAAGAGTCTTTTGTTGGTTGGTTGGTTGGTTGAATTTAAGGAAAGGCATTTTCTCATTTAAGCATACAAGTATAATATGGTGACTTTTCAAATTAAGGGTCAGGCACAGGCTTTGTTTAAACTTTGACAGCTTGCCCTCTGGGATTACATCATCTGCTCTGTTGGTTGAGCCTTGCAGCCTGGCCCAAACACCTTTCCAAATTTGGAAACAGAGGTGTTTGCCCATTGGCCTTGTAGAGAATAATGTTACAATAATTTCGGCCAGTATGTCCAAACCTCCTTGAAACCATCCCATGGAAGGAGTTCTAGGAGTTTGCACTGTCTGCATTCCATAAGCAAATAACCTTCAAACTGTGGCCCACGTGGCCAGGATTAGTATTCATGTTACTCTCCATGGGAGCCACTGAAGGTCAAGGACAAAGTCAGTATACTGACATTATGCATTCATTATGAGAGCATGAGTTCAAGTTAGCTGAAGAAAAGTAATCCAATGTACTGAAAGAAAGAAAAAAGTATTTTACTAATGTATAGGAGACAAGAATATCATAGAAATTAGATAATGAAAGATGACACATCAAGACCAAAGCGATACCTAACAAGCTTTTGAGCCATGTCCAGGAAAAAGAGAAACTTCATGTTGCAGTGAGGAAACAATTATTTCAAAATTTAAACTTTGTTATTCATTATGCAAATAAAAGGTTCACTTTTTAAAATGACAATACAAACATATAAAGCAAAACTGTCTAATCCACCTTCATGAAAATTTCCCTCTATGAAAGACTAATGTTCCTTAGCTTAAGACAGATGAAAATCATTTCCTCCATGGTGAGACAAAGGAATTAGTATTTCATGGAGTAACTGAAGTATATGATTAAGATTGTTTTGTAAAACGAGAGTATCTCCATATAAAGTAAAAATAGGGTAATATTACAGGCGCTAGTTTTCTCAAACTACCCTCCTGAAAAATAATCTCTGTACAGTTTCCAGTTCAAGAAGGAGCAACGTGTTTGCTTAATGTTATATTGTGAATCTGTAGAAATAATTATATAAATCTACATGAATCCATAGTCAGTATCACAAAGTGAGATGCTAGCCTTCAATATTACTAGTGGAACCCGGAACAGTTCACACAATAACACGAAAACATTTAATTTTTTCAAAAAAATCTGGGTAATTCAGATCATTTTCTGAATTGATATAATCCTAAGAAGACCAAACACCTCTTTTCCTTAGCATGCACATTGAAACTTGGAAACTACCAATTAATTGCCTGGCATCTTAACAAATGCTTGTGGTATTTTTATCATTGTTGTTTTTCTTTTAGAAATACATGTAATGGAAACTTAACAACACACCATTTGTCATTATACTGACTGGGTCTTGCAGATAAGATGCAAAGGCAGAACACTAAACCACATTGATGAAAGATAATGCAGAGAAGTTCTATGGGGCCACCATGACAATCATTACTGACCTCTTTCTGCTTCTAATTTTGTGGACTTCAGCCTCACTCTCCCTCCCTCCAACTCACCTTTTGCTGGTGTAGTTCCGGCCTCCTTCTCTTTACTTGGTTCTGTGTAGAAAGTACAAGCATATTTTTTAAAGTGTCTTTAAGCATTTTATTGTGTGATGAGCAACGGGGTGGAGAG